CGTTATTGGGCAGCCGAAATATCATCCTTTATGCAGATTAGAACGCGTTCTCCTAAAAACACAGATCGTTGCCCGCTCGCTGTCATAGATAGTTAGATGAGAACCTACGCGGACAATTTGATGAGCCATTGAGGAGTTTTCAGCCCGCTTGTTTATCATGGTCACTCGCTATCATTTTGGCTCCGTCTGTAAATTCCGATGACAGCTAAAAAAAAAGCTCGAATTCGCTGTCGCTCGTCGACTGCGAGCGCCAACGACTTCGAGCGAGTGCCAGAGTGGGTTTTGCATCATATCGTATCATTTTCCTTGCAACATGTATCATCTGTACAGGTGGTTTGTGCGGACTGCTCCGATCTCGACACCTTTTACTGCTCAATGTGTGGTGTTTGGACAACCCCTAGCGAAATGTTCAAACACCTAGAGACAGTAGGACACAAGCTAGCTTACTTGGTCAGTTTGTGCTATATGTCGTCCAATCTGAATGATCTTCATAAGCGCTTTTTATCCCAGTAACATTTTAGTTCCGCAACTATAAAATGTACCATCAAACGGTTGTGTCAGAATCAAATTCGCTTGTACGAGAAGCGATGCTTTCCCAATTTGCTATTCAGATTTGGAAGGTAAATGTATAATGTTAAGTAGTTCTCGATTGTTTGCTGGATTTATCTTTCGCTTATTTTTAGATGGAGAAGCCACCGGGACAAGTATCCAATCGTCTCCGGTCGTTACTTGATCGTGCCACAATTGAACGTGTTTGGCCTGAACATGTAAAGGTCTTGGATCAGTCCTGGAAAGAGGACGGTTCGTTGTTTTTGATTTTTATGGAGAACGAAATTTTTTTTAGCGCGAAATCAGATCCAGCAAAGACTTTTGAATTTTATCATTAACACATTAGAAAAGATCTCATAAATATTATTGAAATGGCTCCAGTGCATAGCCAAAACGGTGCTCTCATTTAATCGGCCTCTCACATTATCAAGGGGCATATTTTTACAAAGTCTAGTTCACTCTCATATCCATCATATTCTACACTATAGCGCTCCCCACTCACTCATGCACGCTTATCATTTGCTTCTCATGTGGTTCACCCCAAAGTGATCTTGAATTCTCTATTTCTTTTTTATTTGTTGGCGTGAAAGGATATCTGAGTTGCCATTCTTTTGGGACAGCACGATAAGTTCAGAAATTTCAGGAAAGACAGTTGGTCGAGTAGAAGTGCCTCCACCTATCTCAAAGGAAGCTTGGAGTTTTGTCAACGTTGAATTATCTGGAGATGTAAAGAATAAGAAGGAGGAGAAGAAGATCAAAAAAGAGGTTTACGAAAAAGAAGACGCTCCCTCTAAGGAAAAAGAGGGGTATGTAATCTTGAAACGTACTACAAAAAGAGTATTTATTGTTGAGAATGAAGAGGCCGTTATGTAAGTGAATTTCAGTTCAACTAGCCATCATTCGAGAAAACGTTCACCTTCATTTGAAAAGAAGCCGCGTGAGAGCAGAAAGTCATTGTCACCCGCTCGGAAGCGCCATCGATCAAGGAGTCTTGAAAAGTGCAGTCGCGAAAACAGGCACTCTCGTGAACTTAGTTCTAGTCGTTCTAAGCGCAGTCATCACCGTAGTTCATCTAGAGCGCACACGAGACATAGCCGAAGTCGTTCGCGATCGCGTAGTCTTAAACGCAGAAACCGTAGACGCAGCAGAAGCAGAAGTTCCTCTCGTATGCGCAGCTCTAGGATCAAGAATATGTCCTGGGAGGAAACCGCAGCAGCTTTCCTGGCGAAACTCGGCGATCCAAAAGCTGCTGCTAGGGTACTGGACTCTTCAGCAGAGAAGGATAGAACCACGGAACGTGTTTCTTCTAAGTCCTTCGTCGATGAAAAAATTAAACAGTTGAGAAGTTTAGCGAGTCCCTTGCCTTCAACATCGAAGGAGAAGACGGAGGTTTCCTTGCAATCCGAGTCTGATGAAAAAGCGCAAATGCGCAAGATGTTAGGTGTACTTATAACTATGCAACAAGAGGCAGAAAGGAACGGTAGTTTAGATGAATCAGTGATTGACAAGTTGTACAGAGAGGTGGGCTTAAAGAAATCTCTTCAAACGACGAGCGATCAACTCTTAGCCCAAATCTGCTCAGAAATCTCACAAGTAAGTCAGCCTACCAGCAGACCTGCCATAGACTTGCAATCTTTTGGAATTAGCGCTCCGCCCGCGGATCCGCCACAACCACCCTCAATTTTTGGTGGTGGACTGCAGTCACAACCACTGCCACCAACCAGTCAACCATCCACTATACAAATGCTGCTCTCTGAAGTGAAACGCTCGCTAAGCGGCCTAAAGCCTCCAAGGCCGCTATCGCCACTCATCAAGTCACCACCTTTCGTCATCACTAATAGGGATGATGTCTTTCCGGAAGGCGAAACGATTTCTTGCGTTTTTCCGGGTGCAGATTCAAAAGAGCTAAAATGTGGTTCCAGCGCAAATGCACTGCAACCCGAGCAAAATCTATCAAAGAAGGAAAGGGCAGCATTACGTAAGAAGATGTTGTTGGAAGAAGCTGAAAGGCTTAGAAAACAAGCTGAAGAGGAAGATGGTGACGATGATGATGATGACTGGGATTGCTTGGCGGAAGTTATCAATAGACCTGTTCCTATCGGCATAGAAAGTACTTCAGAGAAGTACGCTCAGCAGATTCATGAATCACCGAGAAAACAAAGAGACAACGGTGAAAAAGTCAAGGACTATCAAGTTGACGAAGAGAAAAAGACTCTCGATAGGGAGAGATGTCGTGAACGCAGGCCTGATGATAAAGAAGTGTTCACCGATCGAAATACATACGAACGTGAAAAGCTAAACCGAAAAGTCTTTGACAAAGAAAAAGGTGCGAAATTAAATGGCGGTAAAAAGACAAGTACTTTACGAAATGAGAAAAAGCTTGACATTTGTCAAAAAATGCCTCTTCAACGAACTATTCTTCCTGATGGAAGCCCTTCTACAGAAGTCAGCAGGAAAGGCGACAAGATTTCTAAAAGTCAAAAAAAGAAGGTAGAACGTGAACGTGAGCACTCGAGGATGGTAGGAAAGCCAGCCCATTGGCCCCAACCTGTGCCACAACCGTTACTAGGACTTTCATTGGATCCACCTCCCAGAGAGCCGCCTATTCCGTCATCTGCGGAAGTGCGTCAGCTCTCGCATAACTTTCGCGTAGCAAACGAGCCTGTTTATCCTATAATGGGTAATAATCCTGTTTATCCTAATCAGTATCTTCCTGTTTATCCAAACCAACAACAGTACCACAATCCACTGTATTATCAGGACCAGTATGTGGGACAGTCACCTGTGCACGGCTATGGTGACCCCACTATACAGCAGCAATACTTCGGTCAGCCACCATATTACTAAATGATCCAGTGGTAATGCAACATTAATTTATCCTCTTTTCTTTACGTGAGCCAAGAATATCGTCTGTTTATTATACTCATGTGTCGGTGTTAGACTTATTCGTGATCTTGTTTCAAAACGTGTATTAGTCATGCATCGCGTAATATATCTGTAAATTTATAGTACGCTTTTCTCAAGTTATGTTAATATTCTGCCACTGAATAAATATGATAATTGAATGGTTTGAGTGACCAAAGTGTTCATGTCGCATGAAGTTTTCTGCCAGGCGCGTTTCTATTTCATTGCCACGAATTTTTCATCA